GGAGCCTCTCTTGGAAGCGTGTTTTTGGTGCAGGATTGATCACTAATCCAGCCTGAAAATGCATGCATGCAGTGAACAAACAACACATTTTTTCTATCTATTACATTTGCAATTACTAAAGTATAATCTATTACTAAATTTGCCAATGTGCTTTTAATTTGAAAAAAAAAAGCTCATGAATAAATTGTTTTCAAGTCTAAAAAAGCACAAAAAACATTTTTTTTCTTTTGATTTTGTGTGAAATAGGAACTGAAATTATGACTGGTCTTGTTTCACATAGCAAGTTAAAACAGTTTAAACATCAAGCAATAAGAACAGTCACTAAAATAATTTTGACATTATGACTGTCTTACATTAATGGAAGATTTAGTGTTCACGCCATGGACTAGTGTGCTGCCAATATCAGGATCGTTTGCTTTTCCATGGAAGACCCGAACTGTCCCAACTGGCGGCCGAGCAGAATTGACAAACTTCCTCACCACAGGTGGAGTTAAAGTCTATAAAAAAAATAAAAAAAAATAATAAAATGTTATAAAATGCCGGTCAACTGTTTGGTTTGGTTTTTCAAAGGTTTTATATATATATATTATACACACAAAAATTGTTTGGTACAACAATTTACCGTTTAAAAAAATGAAAATATGAAATAAAATAAAAGGCAAAAATATATAAATACATCCAATTAGTAGAAGAAAATTGTTTCTAGTAAATGACCCACCCCTGGAGTAATTTCCTGCAGACAAGTCTTGGTTCTGTCACCAGCTGGAATGAGCTTTCCTGCCTTTCAATGGATATATATATATATATATATATACACACACACACACACACACACACACACTATAATATAAAATTATAAAAAAAAAATTTTTTTTTTTTAAATGTTTACATTTAACAGTATTAACATTTAAATTTGTATCTGAAAATAGAAATTATTTGAAATCACCTTAATCAATGCTAATAAATTACTCTATGTTCAGATCTTCATCAATAAGCAAAACGTACAGTAAGTTAATGTGCATGTGTCTGTATTAGTTTACATTAGCGAGTCAGAGGGCCACTGCAGAGATCTGGAGATGGTTCTCCCATCATTGTAATGAGGCGTAGTGACACCAAACCTACTGTCTCTCCCATAGTGACTGCAATTGTACTTCCTGTCCACACGCTCTCCTGCAACAGCAAAGAGACAAATGCAGTCAAAAGCGGTCTATCTGCATTTTCTGAAATGATGCCAAAATGAGCACAAGAGAAAAAGACTGTGGTTTCAAAACAAAGAAAATTGCAAAGTTATAAACAGTTTAAACAAAGACTTTGACCCCTAAATGAGCTGCATTTTAACTGACCTACAAAGTAGGATCCGTGTGAGCGAATGTAGAGCTGATGTCCCTCGTCCGCTTCCTTCTTCACCTGATGTGCGGTTTTGGGTGGATTGATGATCTCACCACCGTTAGATACTGCATTTAAAAGAATTCACAGATTCGCTGTTTCTTTTGATTATTGAGTCAATTCATGACTATGCTAGTGAGGTTTCGCTATTACTCATACACTGGAGCGCTGTGACACCAAAAGTGGTTTTCTCAGGATCAAGCCAGCTTGGTAAACCAGGGCCTTGAACTTGTGACCTCCCAAGAGGAGCTTTCCGATTGGTGGCATAATTGATTTCTTGAAGCTGACGGAGCCTCTCTTGGAAGCGTGTTTTTGGTGCAGGATTGATCACTAATCCAGCCTGAAAATGCATGCATGCAGTGAACAAACAACACATTTTTTCTATCTATTACATCTGCAATTACTAAAGTATAATCTATTACTAAAGTTGCCAATGTGCTTTTAAATTGAAAAAAAAAAAAAGCTCATGAATAAATTGTTTTCAAGTCTAAAAAAGCACAAAAAACATTTTTTTTCTTTTGATTTTGTGTGAAATAGGAACTGAAATTATGACTGGTCTTGTTTCACATAGCAAGTTAAAACAGTTTAAACATCAAGCAATAAGAACAGTCACTAAAATAATTTTGACATTATGACTGTCTTACATTAATGGAAGATTTAGTGTTCACGCCATGGACTAGTGTGCTGCCAATATCAGGATCGTTTGCTTTTCCATGGAAGACCCGAACTGTCCCAACTGGCGGCCGAGCAGAATTGACAAACTTCCTCACCACAGGTGGAGTTAAAGTCTATAAAAAAAATAAAAAAAAATAATAAAATGTTATAAAATGCCGGTCAACTGTTTGGTTTGGTTTTTCAAAGGTTTTATATATATATATTATACACACAAAAATTGTTTGGTACAACAATTTACCGTTTAAAAAAATGAAAATATGAAATAAAATAAAAGGCAAAAATATATAAATACATCCAATTAGTAGAAGAAAATTGTTTCTAGTAAATGACCCACCCCTGGAGTAATTTCCTGCAGACAAGTCTTGGTTCTGTCACCAGCTGGAATGAGCTTTCCTGCCTTTCAATGGAAATTATTATACATTAAAACTTAGTAATATCTGTTGCATAATTATGGTCGAGAAATCCATGTAAAAGAATTTGCAAAACTGCCTCTGAAGAATAATTAATCATACCGCGCGGATGTTTGGAAACGTGTCTCTGCGTCTCCAGGTGGATAAATTCCGCTCTATGAGATTCATGCCTATACGCTCACACTTTTAATGCAGAATTATTTAGAACCAATTAACCATCTAAACAAAAACCAACAACAGCAAGCCTAATTACAAAGCCTTACAAACCATAGACATGTATACGTTACAAACAAGTAGCAGTGCTTGTTTACCTTCCGTTACCTTGACAACGCGCTGAGGAAACTTGGCGTCAAGTTGATAATGACGCCAGAAGTCCACCTGTCAAAAAATCGATTTCTAAATTAAGCTTGCTTATTTTCTATTCTAAAATGATGCTATATCTAAGTTGTCAATGCGCTTTTAATTGTAAAAAGACTCGTGAAAAAAAAAAAGTTATTTAAATTGTTTTTAAAAGGCTTAAGTACTAAATAAAAAAACTAACACTTGCTTTCTAATCTTTTTCTATTCTATCTGTTTTCTTTTTATTTATTATATTATTAAAAAAAACCTTGATACGTGTACTGCGTTAAGCTAACTGGGACTTGTTATAGCACTTGTATATAATTGCTCTTTTGTTGATTTTGATTGCTTCCATTGTCCTCATTTGTAAGTCGCTTTGGATGAAAGCGTCTGCTAAATGACTAAATGTAAATGTAAATATGATTAAAATGCATAACTGTAAAGACTTAAGTGGATTTCAAAAGTTAAATTAAATTAAAAATATAATAATAATAATAATAATAATAATAACAACAATAATAACAATAACTGTATACAAAATTAAAATCATCTGTGTTATGAAAAAATATTTGTGATGAGCGTTGTTCTGATTGGCCGATTTCTCTCCGATGCGTCTGACGTCAGAACCAGTCATCCGATCCGTCATCATCAGTTTTGACGCAAAAGGGGAAGTTGGGAGGAACCGAGAGGAAGGTATGAGTCTCTGGGCTTTAAAGATTTGTACTGTTAGGTTAATTTTAATGTCTTTTGCTTTGTTTTTGAAATAAGCCATACTGTTGTTCAGTTATTTATGATTTCTTGCTTTTTAACAGTTATTTATGAGGTGTCACGCTCAGTGTGCGCGCGGCCTGTTTTTCTCTTAGCATTAGCACCATTAGCTTTCGGGAACCATTTGAACCGGAGCATCTGAGAAACTGACAGACCCGTTAAAGTACCGCTGAGAACACCATTGGAACACGACTGCCATGGAGTTGACTGTATGTTTACTTGCGTGTCTTAGAAAGACAAAGAAACACGCAATATCGTTAGCACAGTTAGCAGCACAAGCTAACAGGCAGCTTCATATCGTGACATCAAATACGTTTTCCTATTAAATAATTCAGTGATTTTATTTTGTAATCACTCTGAAATTGAAGTTACGTACTAAATTGTACAGTAAACACAATATTAGCCGATCAAAGCGTGCTGCGGTTTGTTTTGAAGAGCCAGATTATGCTATAAGTCAAATAAGTCATGTTTTATCAATAATGTTTATTTAATTTGAGCATATACTATTAATTCTGATGCGAAAGGTAAATAAATTGCTATTTATAATCGCCTTTTAAGTTAAAAGTGTTTAGAAGCAATCACAAGCTCTGATCATTTGTGTCAATAACAGACCTGTGTTATGCACTGTCACTCTGTCTCATATTTTCTGTATCGAATAAGATATAACAGGGTTATATGTAAAGTATGTATAGCCTAGACTTGGTAAACCAGAGAGGCAAAG